TGTGTGTGTGTGTGTGTGTGTGTGTGTGTGTGTGTGTGTGTGTGTGTGTGTGTGTGTGTGTGTGTCTGTGTGTATGTGTATTTATGTATTTGTGTGTGTATGTATGTATGTGTGTATGTGTGTCCGTGTATGTGTGTGTGTGCGTGTATATATGTTGGCATAGTATTCATATTTCCAAAGTTATTTTGAATGAAATTAGCACTGAATTATTGGGAAAAATGAGTTTTCCTTATATGTATTTCATGTAAAATTGTTGAATTTCAGTGATCATTCAGTTGATGTAAAGTTATTGGATTTCAGGTGATGTTAATTACTGAATTTCACGTGATCAGAATTATATATTTAAACAAATTAACAGATCACACTAGAAAAAAAATGATAATGTGTAATATTTTTTACATTCAGGAATGTGTTTGAATTTGATGATACGATTAATATTAGTTAATCTTCAATATATCAGTGACAAATTTTGAAACTAAGTGCTTTTTTCTCCTTTCAATTTCAAATTATTTGGTCTAAAATTAATAAATTCCAGGAGATTAGAATAATATACTGTGGCAACATTTTCTTCTGGAGATTATTTTAAAGCAGTTAAAGATAATAATAGTCTGTAAGAGTAGTTTATTAACAAATATCATCCTTTGAGTTTCCCACATCGTCGAATTTCCATATATACAAACAAATCAAAGAACACTTTTTCAGGTATCCAAATACCATTTTAACTCATGCTTTATTTAAATTGTACAGAAAAAAAAATTGATTTAAATTAGACATATTGAATACATATGTCTTACTTAAATTAGACAGAAAAAGAAATCAAAAGTGATATAATGAAGTCAAATGCCGAAAAAATCCGTTGAAATAATGATTTGACGAATCACAGAGTGAATTTTAAACTTACCGTAAAATGATAAGAGAAATGTATGAATCCCATAGTATTTGTATTAATTTTATTCATTTCAAAGAAAAAAATCTGCTACTTCTTTTTGAAGGAATGATTAGTTCGTTTTTTTTCAAAATTTGAAATAATCAGCTTTTAATCAGACAAGATTCCTTCCTTAAACATTATCGGACTTGTCTAGTCATAAGTGAATTGTAGAAATAAACAAAACTAGCTGTACTTTACCAGTACAACATATTCATTTACAAAGTTTGAAAGTAATAAGAAAAGTATAAGCAGAAACAAACAATTAACAAAAGTAATTTAAGTAAAATAAACAAGTTAGAAAAGATTTTGCTTTTTTTTTGTAAACCATTTCAAAAATTCCTTAAGCTATCGTTTCATTTTTTACTTTCCATTTTTCCTTTCGATATTTACATTGCCCAAAATATTACTCCACTTTTTTTCCTGAAATGGATTAGAACTAATGAATTTTCTTTTATCATTAAAAAGTACGACAATGAAATAATTTTTGTAGATGATAATAATTAAAGAAATTGGGACATTTAGTCCCATCATAATCCTTTTTTCTCTTTATCTTTAATATTGTATCTTTCCAATAATAATTGTATATTTAATGAGACATTTAACGATAATTTTTACTTTTTTATTTTTTGTTCAAATTATTATTGTATATTTTATTATTATTTAGTGCTTTTTTTTGGTTTGAATGAAATAAAGAAAGAGAAATTTTGGGAAAATAGAGAGTAAAAACAAAAGAATCTACCGGTGGATCAAATAATTGAGGACAAATTCAACAACTATTTTTCCTTTTTCCTTTTTTATCTTTTTTTTCTTGTCATTTATTTTTAGTCAAAATTAACAATTTGAATAATTATTTTCACTTATAATGTTTTTTGGACTAATTTTTTGTAGAGGAAAAAAACAACAACGTTGTTTTAAAGAGATCATCATCGATCTAACATTTGTTATTGTCACAGTTGATGTTAAATTATAGTGATAAATATCATTTATCTATCAGTTGCAGTACTACTACCATCGTTTTATAAATGCAATCAATACCAATATTATTTCAACAGTTACCATATTACCTTAGAATGATAAAGGATTATGATAAGTACTGATCATTTTCGAGGGATCTTTTTTATTCACATTATTATTGAGAGTTGTTGAGAAAACGAAAATGGTGTTTGTCAATCCATTCGTTGATCTGGTATTGTAAATTACTGTATAAACGATATCCCTTACACTTTTTCAATTTCAACATCGATTTTTTCAATATTAATTTATTATCCTGATAATATAAATGTATTGCAGGTATGTGAATATAGTGCTATGCCTATTTTAACTTATTCAGAAATGAAAAATAATTAAATTTTATAATAACGATATGTTAGATATATTCTTATAGGTAAAAGAATGAAAAATAAATTAAAAGAAATAAATCATTTAAACCAAAAAAAAGAAATGAAATAAATTAATTATTGTCAGAAGAAAATCATTGGCTTTAAAATGATTTGCTGATAAAATTATCCATATCAGAAAGTTAAATTCTTTAATCCTTTAATCAGATCAGCCAAAAAAAAAATGATTGTTAATACATCGTAAAAGAATTAGTATCTGTAAACAACGAAGTGGTTAATAAAAATTTGGGTTATCCGTAATTTGCTTTTTTTTTCTTGTCTAACAACTTCATTTTGCCGGGGGGGCAAAGCAATTTGTTTTTTTTTCTTCTTCTTCTTTTTCTTTTTTTTTAAGGATTCATTTGTCTCGAGATTCCTAATTTACAGAATTAAATTTAATGAGCAACTTTAATCCTTTTGAAATCCAATTTAGACATTAAGAAAACATTGGAATAGGCAGTCAATACATTTTTTTCTTTTTTTCAATAACTTTCTCATTAACGGAATATTTTGTGATAGTCTCTGTGAGACTTTTAAAAATCTTCCAATAAAAATCCTGAAAGGGTTAATGATAAGTTCTATTCTCAAGCGAGTAATTCTCCTACAAAAGAAGACTGATTAAACTTAAAAGTTATTTATCAATGATGACAATCACTAATTTTTTTTGTACTCCACTTTCATCTTCTTTCTTTTTTTAAATCTTTGGTCACATCCAGTTTTTGCAGTACACGACAAACAGTATCGAGGGTATTGCAGTGACATTGGCAAATATTTGTATAAATCACCAAATTTGTCGCATGGTTGTCGCATCCAAATATTTTTGATTGCATAGTACTTAGCATGCGAATGCTATCAGTGAATGTTATCTTCTACAAAATGGACTAAAGTATTTCATCTTTAATCTCAGCAATTTCATCTCAATTTCGCAGTCATTACATTTTCTTTGTCCCAACCAATATTTTATGTTAAGCTTGCACATAAAGGCAAATATTTGTTATTCGTTAGACGCTGCAAAATTTTTCTCCAGTATTGTAAAGTATGTTTTAATTATTAATTATTTTTCTCCAGTATTGTAAAGTATGTTTTAATTATTAATTATTTTTCTCCAGTATTGTAAAGTATGTTTTAATTATTAATTCTAAAGGTTTTTTAAGGCATTTTTTGATAATTCCGATAATTGATAAATGACAATTTTGCTTTGCTTTATGATATTTTCAATGGATTTAATTTTATGACTCTTTCCCTGATGTCATTCTTTCTTCAATTTCGTCAAAAAATTTCCTGTACTTTATTGCCATCTGACTCAGGTGGTAATTGTGATATAGTAGTT